CTCCTCCTCCTCCTCCTCCTCCTCCTCCCCGCCACCCTCCTCATCCGCCTCCCGTCCCCCTCCTCCTCGTTGTTCGTTTTCTCATCCTCCTCCTGCCCCCCCGCCTGCTCCGCCTGCTCTCTGCGTCTCCTCCTCCTCCTCCGCCTGCTCTCTGTTCCTCCTCTTGCTCCTGCGCCTTCGCCTCCTCGTCCTCGTCCTCCTCCTGCTCCTGCACCTTCTCCTGCTCCTGCTCCTGTTTCTCCTCCTCCTCCTCCTCCCCGCCTCCCTCCTCCTCCTCCTTCTCCGCCCCTCCTCATCCAAATCCTCCTTCTCCTCCTCCTCGGCTTCCTCTTCCTCTTCCTCCACCTCCTCCTCCTCCCCCTGCTCCTCCTCCTTCTCCTCTTCCTCCTCGTCCTCCCTCCTCCCTCCTCCTCCTCCTCCTCCTCCTCCTCCTCCTCCTCCTGCTCCTCCTCCCCCCTTCAATGTCCTCCCTCAAGCCCACTTCACGCAACACCGCGTCCTCGCGACCCCGCGATCGCACGACCCCAACGCCCCAAGACCCCACGACCTTACGTCATCGCAGCCCCACGGAACCAAGACCCCGCGACCCCAAGACCCCACGACTGCACGACCCCATGGCCTCACGACCCCAACACGTTACGATCCCACAACCCCACGACCCCACCGCCCCCAAGACCCCACGACCTCGCGACCTCACCACCCCACGACCCCACGACCCCACAACCCCACGACCCCACGACCCCACCGCCCGAAGTCCCCACGACTGCACGACCCAACGACCCCACCGTTCCATGACCCCTCGACTCCACGACCGAACAACCCTACGACCCTACGACCCCACGACCCCAAGACCCCCCGACCCCCCGACCCCATAACCCCACGACCCCACCACCCCACGACCCCACCGCCCGAAGTCCCCACGACTGCACGACCCAACGACCCCACCGTTCCATGACCCCTCGACTCCACGACCGAACAACCCTACGACCCTACGACCTCACGACCTCAACGCCCGAAGTCCCCACGACTGCACGACCCAACGACCCCACCGTTCCATGACCCCTCGACTCCACGACCGAACAACCCTACGACCCTACTACCCCACGACCCCTCGACCCCCCGACCCGACGACCCCACAACCCCACGACCCCAAGACCCCGCGATCCCACGACCCCACAACCGCACGACCCCGTGATCCCACGACTCCTCAACCCCACGCCCAAGCGACCCCAGGACTAAAGGACCCCAGGACCCAGGAACCCCAGGACCACGCGACCCCACGACCTCGCAACTCCACGACCCGACAGCGGGACCCCTTTCAACATAAACTTGCTGACGCTACCGTGCACAAGGAAAATCTTGAACATTTGGTGACGACAATTCTACACTTTATGACGATGTCTTGTTTTACCAAAGCGCCAGCCTGGGGAAACCAGGGACGACTTAACAGCAATGACTGTACGCTGATGCCCTTCGTGTCTGTTGGATGCTCTGGTGCATCCTGGACATGAGATGGGGCGGGCCTTCTCAAGGCTCGGAAGCCCTCCGGCCTTGTGAACAAAAAGAAAGCACCCTCAGCCTTAGGTCGGGCCTGTCCCCCTCCAGCGGGATTTTGGGCGAAAAATTAGCAGTACCCCAGCAAGACTCCAATATAGTCAAGAAATACGCAAACAAGTCCCCAGACTATTGTTGTACTATTTTTGAATATTCCTCATGTAGGAGGGCAGGCCCGCCTGAACCCCAGCCTGCCCTGAAGGCCCCGACATGCTCTTAAGAAGGCCCGAGGGCTTTTGAGGAGCCCCGCCGCCTGCATGAGGAGGCCTGCGCCTCCTCAGTCTCTCCCCCCCCGTCGCTCGCCGCCGAGCCAGAGGTCCCAGACCCCCGACGCCGATACTCTCTCTCACAGGAGGGCTGAACCTAAACAGTGCTGCTCGTGTTCGTGTTGCTCTCGTTGTCCCTTGTTCTGTCTAGGGGGCCACGTGCGAACCCTACCCCCACCCCCCACGATTTCTGAGGGGGAGGGTGGGGTTCACTTCGTGCGGGAGCTCCCAAACGAAGTGAACCCCGCCCTCCCCCTCAGAAATCCTGGGGGGTAGGGGTACAGTCATCGGCCTGACCTAAGGAACGATAAACGAGGAACGAAGCCCCTTTTTGTCCCAAGGCATAACGCATCAGGAACGATACATCATCAACAACGCATGAGGAGCTGTAAACAACGCATGCAAAACTAAGGAGCGACCGAGCCCCTTTTGAAAAGCACGTGTTCCTTGTTCAAGCCGCTCACTATAGGCTTCGCACGCGGCCCCCCACACAGAACGAGATCGAGCCGAGAACGGCCCACGCAATCGCCAAAGTATCGTGTAGGCCCAGCCCCGGCCTCGACACCCCGGGGGTCTGCACCCCTGCCCCGGGGCCGGCCTCTCGTCTCGGGCCGCTCCTCCGCGCATCGCCTCACCGGTCCCTCTACCCAGCGGCGTGGCCTGGGCCCCGCCGGCCGCTCTTGGGCCCCCCCCCCTAGATGGGGATGTGGGCCGTTCCCTTTTGGGCTTCGAGGGGTGCGTCCCCAACTGGGGGGGTAATCCGGTGGGGGTCTCGAAGGGGATGGGGATGGGGATGGGGATCGGTTCAACGATACCGATTTTTTGACGGCCCCCAGGCCCTGCGAGGGGCCCCAGGGGCCGACAACTGCACAACAAAACCTCCCGACGCGCTTCGTTGAGCAGGGACGGACCGTCCCGGCTTTCCTGTAGGCGTACCAGGTCACGCTCTTAGAACAAAGGAATGTGCGAAGAACAAAAAGCACATTATTCTAACATGAAGCCGACGTATTGCAACAACACTGTCCCAGCTGGAGATGTTCTAAGAGCATTTCGTGCAAGCCACGAAAGGTTATTGGAACAATGGTGGGCCGCCTATGGGCAAGCCAGGATGCTTTGCCACTGCTTGAACTCTTTGTCACGACCCGCCCTAGACATCCAGCGCTTCAGTCCTCTCGATGCAAGGACCCCCTGGAGGCCTGGGCAACTTCCCGAGGGCCGGCCTCTCATTCTGCAGCGTTCTTTGAGGGCCCCCGGGCTCGTTGAGGACCCCAGGATTAGGTCGGGCGTGTCCCCTTACAGGCGGATTTTTGATGATATATAAAACATACCAAACAAATAGCCAACAATCATCGACAACTCGTCAAAACAGCTTCCCACGACTATTTGTTTGACGATTCCTAAATGAATATTCCCCCTGTAGAGGGACAGGCCCGTTGAGGACCCCAGAAGGCCGAGACTACAGGGTCCGGCTTGAATGAGGAACACTCACTTTTCAAAAGGGGCTCGGTCGTTCCTTGGGTTTGCATGCGTTCCGCGACCTTTTTGGCGGCGAGCCTCCCTGGTGTCCCTTCGGTCTCCGTAGACCTGATTGGGAGAAAAGAAGCCTCGTTCCTCAGCGATCCTTCCTCAGGCCAGGCCGAAGCCGCTCCCATCTCTTTCGGAGCGTCGGCTCTCCTTTGACTACCTACCAGACCACCCCAACCCAACCCGAAGACCCGAATTTCGGGTTGGGGGGGGGTATGGGCTCCATATGTGTTTTTTCGATGTTCCCGGACCCCCCCCCCACTGGAAATGGAGGGTAAATTGAGGCCTTCGGGTTGAGTTGGGGTGATTTGGTGGATGGTGATTCCTCAGGCCAGGCCGAAGCCGCTCCCATCTCTTTCGGAGCGTCGGCTCTCTTTGTGAGCGGCGCCCCGGGCCGGCGCCGCAGCGCGGCACCGCACACGGCACCGGCGGCGCGCCGCAGGCGCACGCAGCGCGGCACGCCCCAGCAGGAGGAGGAGGAGGGGGAGGAGGAGGAGGGGGAGGAGGGGGAGGAGGGGGGTGAGGAGGGGGAGGAGGAGGAGGAGGAGGAGGAGGGAGGAGGAGGAGGAGGAGGAGGAGGAGGAGGAGAGGAGGAGGAGGAGGAGGAGGAGAGGAGGAGGAGAGGAGGAGGGGAGGAGGAGGAGGAGGAGGGAGGGGAGGAGGAGGAGGAGGAGGAGGAGGAGGAGGAGGAGGAGGAGGAGGAGGAGGAGGAGGAGAGGAGGAGGAGGGGAGGAGGAGGAGGAGGAGGAGGAGGAGGAGGAGGAGGAGGAGGAGGAGGAGGAGGAGGAGGAGGAGGAGGAGGAGGAGGAGGTCGGCGGCGCTTCGCGCCCGCCGCGCGGCGAGGGCGCGCGGCCGCGCCCGCCTTCGACCTCGTCGGCGATGCCCTCCGCGACGTCCTCGGCGGCCGGGGGCGGCCAGCGCGCGCGCGAGAGCACGGCGCGCGCCTCGTCGTCGTCGTCGTCGTCGTCGTCGTCGTCGTCGTCGTCGTCGTCGTCGTCGTCGTCGTCGTCGTCGTCGTCGTCGTCGTCGTCGTGCGTCGGCGTCGGCGTCTGGCGCCTGGCGCCTGGCGTCGGCGTCGGAGTCGTCGTCGACATTGTCGTCGGCGTCGTGGTCGTCTGGCGTCGTCTAGCGTCTAGCCCCGTCGCCGGCGTGGTCGTCCATTTCGCCGCCACCGCCGTGATCGCGGTCACCGCCGTCGCCGCCGTCCTCGGACAAGAAAACTCTTGCTTCTGGCGCGCCTTCCCAAAACAGTGCTCGCACCATTGGGCCCGATCCCGATGACTTGAAAATTGGCCCACGCTGCCCACGCTGCCAGGCTTTCGCCAAGTGGGCGCCCTTGCCCGTTGTTCCTACCTCGCGCCCGCCCGCGCGCTGTCCTGCGCTGCCAGGCTTGCGCCCGCTGGGCGCCCGTGCCCCCGCCCCTTTGCCCTGGCTATAGCGCGCCTGGCTGTCGGGCCGGTAGGCACCCGTGTTCGCCCTTCCGGCTGCACGACGGGCCGATGTCCCCAGGAAGGATCCCGGTGGCCCGGCGGGGCTGAAAAGTGATCCAGCTCGCGCCCCATTGAAACCCTCAAGGGGGCCGATAGGGGCGGACTGGCCCGTGATGGGAGCATCGCCCTGGAATCGGCGACGCATCGCCCAAGATAGGCCCCCGATAGCGGAGCCACACGGTCCCCAGCGGGGTGGGTCTGTCGCGCCCCGCTCGACGATGAATGGACGATTTCTGGGCCGATGCGCCCCCCCGGAGGTCTGGGTCGCTCTTTCTCTCACCCTTTTCTCCTCCTTCGCGGAGGGGTTGATCAATGCTCCCTAGTTATTCATAAACGCGCCCTCCCCCACCAGACCAGCAGCCAACCCGGACCCCGCCAGTCCCTGTCTAAAAAAATGCAACATACAATTTCCTCCAAACCTGGAGCATGCGCAGGCGCTCCGCGACCACATTGTATGGGATGTTGAAAGCAGTCGGGACGTCAGCTCGCAAGCCAAACATCCATGCAACAAAAGCAAGACATCGGGTAGCCCGAATGGAGCCCAAACCGTGCGCGTCTAGCAATACATGCGGTAAATGTGTGTAGTGTGTGTGTGTGGGTGTGTGTGTGGGTGTGTGTGTGTGTGTGTGTGTGTGTGCAGATTTCGGTTGTGCGGCATGTGTTGCGCCATATGCGTAATGCAATACGTGTGTTATAAGCTATGTGGTGCATTTGAAATTTTCAGACGAATTTACACATTCCACGACTCTACAAACATCCCATGAGGGGGGACCGTTACCGACGTAGCTGGGCTGGTATGGTGTCATATGTAGGATGGACGATGGGCAGAATCGCATGGGAACCGCAATGCGAGAACAGTGGTTGTTCAGCTGGGGGGGCGGGGGGAAAAAGGGGCGGGGGAGATCCAAATACTTCCTGGCAAATGAATATATATATATATATATATATATATATATATATATGTTGTGCAGTGTACGGAAAACAAGAAAACAAGCAACGCTGCGCAACCTGAGACGTGCAGTCCATGTTGTGCAAAATAAGTTGTGCAATCGATGTGGCGCGGTCTACGTGGTGAAACCTATGTGGCGCTGTTGATCTATTACAAATGAAAATACAAGTTTAATAAGTCTGCAAACATCCCACCAAACCACCCGCAACATGGTTTGCAAAACCCATGCGGCGGCGACTGCGACAAGTGCAGGGGGTTCGCTGGCGCATCTCTGCGGCAACGCTCGCCCGCACATGCTCGCGCGCGCAGCGGCCAGCTAGCTTGGCGCGACAAGCGGCGGTGGCGCTGACCGCTGGGCACTTCTCAACGGGCACTTCAGTGCGAGTCGGTGACTTGGGCGGGCACGGTATCATGGCGACGCCATCAACGAGTGTCAAGATGATGAGAGTAGCGATGATGGTGACGGTGGTGTCGGCGACGATGGCAAGGCCAATGGCGGCGCCAACGTTGATCACGCCCGCCGATGACGATGACGATGTCCTCGCGTCGGTGATCAAGGTGCGGGAAGGAGTTCGACATGCGCGCGCGGCCGACGCGCGCGAGTGGCCCAAATTATTTGACACGGATCGTGTCCCCCCAGCGCGCCCGCAAGGGCGTCTGGATGAGTTCGACATGCGGCGCGAGAGGCCTGTTCGGCCGGAGTGTGATGACGATGCTGACAAACCAAGGGTTTTCATGAGAATTCGCAAGAGCGCGCGCGCAGGCATTTTTTTAGAACTGATACTACAAAGCCGAATGCTGTTTTTCATATCAATTCGAAATACTCGTTTTTGAAATCCTTACGAAAGCGGAGGTTGTTGAAGGATTTCGGCACGCGGGCGCGAGGGCGCGCGCGCGTGCACCTCGTCGAATTGTTTGCAAGGGATTCTTCCGACAGCACGCCCGCAAGGGCGCTCGAACGACTTCGACATGCGCGCGAGAGGCCCGTTTTGCAGCATTGTACGAAAATGTTGAAATTGAAAACAACCATTGTTTTCTGACGAATTTGCGTGAGCGCGAGCGCTTATCTTAACGTCCGAGTGCGGACATTATGTGTTTGTATATGTTTTCGTGCCACACACGATTTTGAAATCCTTCCGAAACCTGATTATTATAAATGATTTAGGAATGCGAGCGCGGCGACGCGCGCGTGTGCACTTCGTCCTGGTGCAAGCGAGTCTTGAAAACTTGCGAGGCTTGCTAAACAAATGTGCGTGCATACGATGCTTGACAGAGGATGAAGGGGGGAGCGGATACAAGCCTTGCTGGGATGGTACGAACTCATAATTAACATGGACGTCGGGGCAGACTCGCATGTAGATTGCAATGCGGAGGTTAACCCTTAATTCCGGGGGGGGGTTTTACATCCTGTTACTCTTCTTGGAGAGAATATATGCTGTGCAATATATGGTGCGCAAGCCATGATGTGCAATGGATGTGGCGCAATCTGTGCGGTGCAGTCATTGTGGTTCAGTGTATGTGGTTCAACCTATGTGGTGAAGTATAGATTGAAACATCTATGTGGTGCACCTAATTTCTGTTCGCGGTGACTTGTCCACTCCACTGCTCGCACAAACATCCCACCCACCCACCCGCAACTTGGCTTGCAAAATCTCTTAAGACCGTGACGGTGGGTACCACATTGCACTTGGCAGCGACAGCGACGCCGACAACGACAGCGACAACGACGACGACGACGCCGCCGACAACGACTACGACGACACCGACGACGTCTCCAACGACTTCGACGACGCCGACAACGACGACGACGACGACACCGACGACGACGACGCCGACGCCGACGCCGGCGACGACGACGACGACGATGACAACGACGACGACGATGACGACGCCGACGACGACGACAACGACGACACCGACGACGACGACGACGACGTCAACGACGCCGACGACGACGACGACGACGACGGCGACGACGACGACGCCGACGTCGACGACGAAGACGACGACGACGCCGACGCCGACGACGACGACGAAGACGACGACGACGTCGCCAACGAAGACGACGACGAGGGAGGAGGGAGGACGACGACGGCGACAACGACGACAACGACGAGAACGACAAGGGAGGAGGGAGGACGGCGACGACGCGAACGACGAAGAAGGAGGAAGGACGGCGACGCCGACGACGACGACGAGGGAGGAGGGAAGACGACGACGACGACGACGACGACGACGACGACGACGACGACTACGGCGACGAAATAGGAGGGACGACGACGAGACGCCGACGACGGACGACGACGACGACGACGACGAGGGAGGAGGAGGAAGGACGACCACGGCGACAACGACGACGGAAACGACCATGACGCCAAAGAGGACGACGACAACGAACACGAGGAAAGACAGAGGACGACGCAAGCGACGACGACGACGACGACGAGGGAGGAGGGAGGACGGCGACGACGACGACGACGACGCAAGAGCGCGCGCGCACGCTTTTGTTGAACATCCGTGTTGCGAAACCTTTGTTTTTTGTAGGTTTTTCGGACACACGATTTTGACATCCTACCGAAACCGATGGGTTTTGAAAGATTTCGGCATACGCGCGCGACGACGCGCGCGTCTGCACTTCGTTCCTTTTTTTGCAAATGATTCTCACGATGGCACACGCGCAAGGGCGTTCGACAGATTTCGACATGCGCGCGCGAAGCCCGTTTGGTAGCATTGTGTGTAAATCTTGAAAAACATATGGTTTTCTTAAGATTTCGCAAGAGCTCGCGCGGAAGCTTTTTTAGCAAATCAGTGTTGCGAAACCCTGTGTTTTGTATGTTGCTTCGAAACTCGATTGCGAAATCCTTCCGACACCGAGGGTTTTTGAAGGATTTCGGCATGCGCGCGCGACGACGCGCGCGTGCACTTCGTTTCATTTGTTGCTAGGGATTCGCGGAAAAGTCCTATGTTAGAACAAAAGATGACCCCGCGTATCGTTTTTTTCTTACAAGGGAGCCTCAGGGGGACCGATCACGGTTCCCCTGGGATAGTGAACACTCATATTTAGGAGGGACATGTGGTCATAATCATATATGATTTGCATACCCGCAAAGGGGGGCGGATAACGCCGGGGGGGGGGTAGAGTCTATTCTCTCTTGAGAAAGGAGAATCGAAGTTGTGCAACAGAAGCAGTACACTCTGTGCGGTGTCATATCTGCGGCGACGGGGCGGCGACGGCGAGCACGGAGCCGCCAGACCGACAACTCCCCCCGTATATACATAGAACACAAGTGAGCACCCCTAGCGCAAGCACTCCTTCGAGAAATTGCACGTTGTCTACAAATCTGGAGCATGCGCAAGCGCCGCACGACTACTTCGGCGGTGGACAAACCTCCCTTTAGTAGACCTCCCCTTAGTGAAAACGGCCTGGGACCGAAACCGACGGACCTGGACCCGCAAAAATGACGGCCGCGACGCCCTCTCGCGAACCGAGAACGGCCAATTCCTCAATCGACGTGTCAGGGTAGGAGGTCTATCGACCTCCGATTACTTCGCACTGGTTTTTGAGCCGGACGGCGGGGGTGTCGCAATATTGCTTGCTGCGGCAATTCGATGGCGCACCCGGCACACTTTGCACTGGCGCCGCACGCGCGGCGCACCTGGCGCGGCTGGAGCACATTGCACACGCGGCGCACGTGGAGCACGTGGCGCACCTGGAGCGCCCGGCACGCTTGGGCCTCCTGAGTGCCTGGTGCACCTCAACCCGTGGTGCACACGTCATGCGTGGCGTTCCCAGGCGATGTGCTGAGAGAATCGGGTGCTACTTCTGTGTCGGGAGTGAGCTGAACAGTTCGCGTCTGGTTGTGTGGCGGGTGGGTGTCTTGATACCTCCCACCCGACCCCTGCCCCTGGGTCGTGCCGAGGACGGGCCCGAGCGGTCAGAACGTCCAAGATGACGCGCAAGATGGCTCAGGATGGCTGAACAGCCTCCATCATGCCGGATGCATTACGTTTCCACCAGAGGGGGGTGCTTCTTAATTGTTCCTCAGGATTGCACGGGCCCTTGAGGTTTCGCACAACATTGTCCGGCCGCCCAGACCCTCCACGGGCCTCAGTACCGACAACAAAAGGAAGACCCTGTCCTGTGAGAAACCATTGGGTCTGCGGCCCTTTCCCTAAGGACGCCAATCCTTCAATGCGAATTACGAGCCTTGCTTACGCTTCGGCAACGTGAACCATGACCGATCTCACGCACAGCACTCAAACGCCTCATAAGCTCTGCGTGAGTATGCCACCATGCGAACACTTCTGGTGAGCAGCTGTTGCCAAGCTTCTGTCGTTGGGCACACGCGTGGACGTTTTATGGCGTTGGGGTGGTGCCCGCGAGCGAGGCTCGCACGGGCAGCCACGCCCGGGTCCTCCTCGACGTGCTTCTCCTCCTCTCTAATCTCGGCCAACATCTCCTCGGGACGGGCGGGGGAGGGACAAGAAAAAAATCGCCAGCTTCCCAACTGATGGGAAGGGGACCCCTCGATGCTACAGCGTCGCGCCGAGGCCGGCACAACCAAGGCAAGTCGGCGAGAACGTGTGGAGGAGGAAGACGAGACGACGACGACGAGGACGACAAGCGGACAGGCCACGAGGCCAGGAAAGGCGAGAAAGACGAGGGACACGAAGAGGAGGATGCTGACGATGCAGCGGGGAAGAAGGAGGGTAACGACGACGAGGAAGAAAAACGTGGAGTGGAGGATGCGGATGGCGAGGATGGACAGCCCTCCAAAGAGAACGATGGAGGACGATGAAACGACGAGTACCACCGGAGGCCAACATTGAAGGGGCCCGCAAACACACAAATAAATACACACAAATAAAAAGATTCCCTATATTTTCCTATGTTCTGGGTTTCTGTCTTCCCCCCCACTTCCCATATTTTCGCATATTTTCTGGGAATCGACGATTAATTGTGTCTGTGTTTTTTTCCCTCCTGAAACATGTCGCCGTTGGCTGCTTGACCTCACCTTCGGACCTGCAAGATGCCGAGGAGTGGCGGGCAACCCCTGCCCTCGCGCTCCCCAGCTTGGCAGTTGCAGCGCGCTCCCCCACCTTGAGGGGCAACGTCCGAGGGGGACCAGCTTAGCGGGGAGGGAACATATCGGTGATAGATCGCCCGAGGGGTAACGTCCGAGGGGCCCTGAATCGGTGATAGATCGCCAATAACTCGGCGATACGCCCCCAATCGCAAATCGGCACGTTTCCGGACGGTGTGGGCTATCGGGCCTGTGTTGGCGCGTTATTGGGCGATTGGGGGTCAATGCGTCCCCCCTGAGCCTATCTGGGGAAACCGAAAACTATCGATACCGCTGCCCGCCCGGACCTCTCCCGGGGTGCGATCTGGCCCGGATTTCGAGGCGAATCCGGCGATGGCGACGAGGGCCCTCCAGGGAACGCAAAAAGGCGAGAACGAGGCTGGGGCAGCAGCATGAGCACCTGTTCCTCCTTTGCCTATCCGCCCTACCGTTGACCCTGAGGACTGCACGGTTGACCCAGCACAAGGACACAATCGGGCGAAGAAAAATCGATAATCTCTGAGCTCTGGCGGCTCTGGAGGATGTCTCGGTCGCCGCGGCCTTCTCAGAGCGTGCTGGAACACTCTGAGAGCGCCCCGGAACGCTCCGGAACGGATCTATCCTCGTCCCAGCCCAGATGAAGAAAGACCAGGCTGGATGACAAGGAACTCGCTGAGATGATGCCGGAGTCTGCCGGATGTGCCAGCGCCGATGCAAACTCGAGCTTGCCGGTAGCTGCATCCCAAGAAGAGGCCAAGATCCCCTCGCGTCGCGCTCGTTTGCCCGCCCTTCGGCCGCCAGGGGAGGGGGGGGGCTCGCCTGGGCCCCCAGAGACGCCAACCCAACGGCTCCAGGGGGCTCCAGGGGGTGAAGCATCGCTCCAAAGATCAATTCAAGCACCATGTGAAGATCGGTCTGAATTCCGCTTCTGACGAGGTTGTTGCGCACACAGTCTTAGCACATGCGGGAGAGGCGGCCTTGCAGCAGCAGCGCTCCCCCACCTCCGCAGCCATTGACCTCAGCGGCCCCACTGAGGGCCGCGCTATATCCGTTCCCGAGCATGCGACTATGTGACTGTTCTTATCAACGCGTGGCCCCAGAAGGTCCCAACCCTTGCAAAGGGGCAGTGTTTAGCCCCCGCTCCATGTTTGATGGCCTTGGCTCGACAACGGGCTGGGGGGGGGGGGGGGGGCAGACCTCGAGGCAAAAGCACCCCGACTGTTTCAAAAACGCATCGCTGGATATCTAGTCTTGAATTAACACTATCCTCACACCAAGAAGCCAGCAAACCATGACCGGCATCTAACAACAACGCATGTTGGCCAGCGTGGACCCCCAACATTGTGTTCTTGACATGTACGTGGTGCAATCAATGTGGCGCAATCTAGGCGGTGCAGTCCTTGTGGTCCAGTCTACGCAGTGCGAAGCATAGCAAATCAATGCAAATCAATCAGAACGCATCCGCGCTCAATACTGCACAGCAATATAAATGAGCACAAACCAATGCAAAGCAACGCAAAGCAATGGCAATGCAAAACGATGACACACAGTGCGACGCAGCGCAAAGCAACTCAAAAGCTACGCCAAGCAGCGCGGTGCAATGCAACGCAATGCCATGCGATTGTACTGCAAGGTAACTGCAGCGAAATGCAATGCGACACTGCGTATCGCAGTGCGATTGCACTGCAGCAGGCCGACAAGGCCGTCTTCCGACCGCAGCGCTTCGTCGACGATGCCGTGCAGGGCATCAACCCCGTCTGCGACCGACGCCATCGCGCGCTCGACATCGATGGTATCGCCCAAAGGTATACAGGGCTTCGCATCTCCTGGCGCTGGACGGCTACAAATGGCGTTCGGCTTCGATGGCATTCGACTTCCATCGGGAGCGGCCAAGAGGGGGGTGTCCAAGAGGGGGGGGGTGCAATTCATGACCGGCGGCACGTGCGCGGCCCAGCGGGGGGGCCAGGGACGCAACGAACTGAGGAGAGGCGCCATGAGATCTGGGGAAAGATCGTGGCCCCCGCCATGATGTCCAACCCCCCCTAGTCATCACCCCCCTCTTTGCCGCCCCGACCGCAGGAGGAGGAGGAGGGCGAGGAGGGGAGGAGGAGGAGGAGGAGGAGGAGGAGGGATGAGGGAGGAGGGGAGGAGGAGAAGAAGGAGGAGGAGGAGGAGGAGGAGGAGGTGGAGGAGGACCTACGAGCCGGCGAGCCTCTCCTACGAGGAGGAGGCGCGGGGCGGCGGCGCACGGGCACGGGGCCGACCCCGGGCACCGCAGGCGGGCCCGGCGCCTCGGAGGACAGGGCAGGGCCCGTCCTCCTGCACCACCACCATGAGGCGGAGGGGGAGGGGGTCCTCCTCCTCCTCCTCCTCCTCCTCCTCCTCCTCCTCCTCCTCCTCCTCTCCTCCTCCTCGTTCTCCTCCTCCTCCTCCTCCCTCCTCCTCCTCCCTCCTCCTCCTCCTCCTCCTCCTATTCGTCGTCCTCCTCCTCCTCATTCGATTCTTCCCCCCTCCAACTCATGGTGCTGGGGGTGGAAAACAGGCCCATCAAAGACAAGTCAGGGCCCCATGAATGCAAGCACCGCTTTGGGAATGCACGACTCTGGTGTCCCCGGCGGGGGG